CCCCCCCCCCCCCACCACCCTAGCTACACCCCTGCTACCTACACAAAAGGAACCAAGAGTCAGGGATTGTTACCATCACCCAAAGGAGGGAAGGATAGCTAATAAACATGTATTGTCAAGTGTTAACAAAATTATTTCTTATGAAAATCACCACTTAAGGGGAGTAAAGAAATAAAATGCACCTACGCATGTAGTGGCATTTATAGATCCTGCAGGTCTGAGACTCACCTTAGGTTGAGGTGTTGACCGTAACACAGCACTGTAAGACATAGGAGCAGATGGCTTTGGAGAGCTGGTCATTTCATTGTGATCTGTTGTTCTATTGTCCACAGCTGACTGTCTTTTGATTTTTACACTATCACACAAGTCAGGAAACTCCCCTTCTAATGTCTTATTTTTTGAGGGAGCAACAGACAAACTGTTTGTGGAGTCAGATGTTCTTTGAGTGCCATTTTGTAAGTCATTACCTATACTCGAGCTAGACATTGTGGTACATGCCTCATTCACTGGTGAAGCTGAGACAAATTCAGATAAATTCTGCTGCTTCTTTGAAGACTTCCCTTCTTTATCCACATTGATATGACTGGATGATTTATCATGTTTAGCACGTTTATCAAATTTCTTTGACTCTGCATCTTCTTCCCCTTGATAAGTCCTCTTCTTTACAGACTCAGTGTTACAATTCTTGACATTTGATTTCGTATTTTTTTCCATTCTGCTTAAAACAGTAGGGTCTACAGCTTTTGCATCATCCCTTTTAAGCCTCCAGTTGTCATCATCATCACATGCCAATTTCTTTAAAATATTATTCCTTCCCATTTGCTTTCCTTCCCTACTAATCTGTTCAACATTTCTGGTACATGATTTCGAAGCTTCATCATTTTTTATTCTGTTATATCCTCTTTCTTCCCCAGTTCTTTTCCCACCTTTTATCTCCTTTGTTTTCCCGTGACTAACATTACTTGTCAATGTACTTTCTCCAGTCTGGAATTCAGAATTTTGTGTATGTTTCTCCTTTTTCACCCTGGAACTGTCTGGAGAAAAATCCTTGACCCAAGACTTTTCAGTGTTCAAATTGCTGCTCGCTATGTTACTGTTCTTTGATGCCAAGCTCTTTACTTTGTCACTGTAACTCACAGTAAAGTTAGGAGCAGTAGGTTGCTTTTTGTGGCATTGTTGATCTGTATTACTAGAACTTTCAACAGCAGTGACATCAACATTTGTTTTGCTGTCAGCAGTGTTTTCAGAAGAGCTGTTCAGAGAGGAAAGCAAAGTTGTAGAATTTTTTTCACTGCTTGAACACAGTTTCTTTTCTTCCAAGCTTGGATTCCCATGCTTTGTATCAGAAGAATCATCTTTCACTGGGACTACAGTTGATTCTCTTTGGACTTCAGACAAATCTTCTGAGTTTAATTCCTCTTGGTCCTGTTGCAGAGTTGAATCATTAAGTCCTTTTTTCTTCCTTCTTCGCCTTTTCCTTTTCACAGCAACAGTGCTGTCAGTATCAGCAAGGTTTTCACCTCCATTGTTTTCTGCAGTGTTTTGTCCTTCCTTATTTTGTTCTTTTTTCTTTGTTGCAACAGTCTTTCCAGCTTTAGCAGTACTTTTCCTAGATTGTAAAAAGCTTGTCTGGTATGCTTGGAAAGGTACATTCTAGAGACAAAAAGATGTTATGAAATTAACACAACTTTTGTACATCACAAGGAATGCTGCAGAGGGACTCTAGGATAGTTTTTTTCCTGAGGTTTTAAAGTATTCCCTGTTAGCATAGCTACACGTACTTGACAAAAGGCACATGTAGGCAGAGTTTTCCGTTTCAAATATAATTTGCACTTTGCTTGTTCTCTAATTAGTATTTACTCCAAATATAGCACCAGTACACATTGGGTTTGGCTCTGAAATAACCTGTGAACTTGCCCACAAGCAGTCATTCTTTTCCGATCAAGCGAAAAGTGAAACAAAAAACAAAAAATGCATGAGGAAGGAAAATACAACTGGAAAACGGTATTTCAGAGTTATCAGTTGTTCATGAGAATTATGGTATTTGACTTTTTTTCAAGGGCTTTTAATACTGAGGAATATCACTATGACCCTAATAAGACAAAGGAACCTGTTTTTAGAAAAAAAACTAAAAGAAAAGCTTGGCCGCCATGCCTGTCACACTCTACCATGGAGGTATATGCTTTCATACAAGTCCTGATGACTTACTTGTTGCCATTCAATATTTCCCTGCTTGATATAAGATTGATGGTACGGATACTGGAAATGGTGTCCAGGCTTGTAAGGCGGTGCATAAGATGTAAAAGAGACCGAAGGCTTAAACTCAGGTACTAGGGGTGAAAGGTTAGAGTTGATAACAAGGCTGCTGGAGAACGTTGGTCCAGTGTACACTTCTCCAGGAACAAATGCAGGAACTGTAGCTGAGAGTTTGGAATGTGAGGTGAACTTCTGCAAAAGAAATGAATATAGAGACACAGTGAGGATGCAGTTACAGTAACTTCGCATACCCTAGGCAAGTGACAGACTACAACTAATGGGCTAAACAGGCTATTATATTAATACAAAAATAGCATGTTCCTGCCGAGACATAAAAACTCTGTTATCTTAACTTAATTTTTTTACTAAACTGCATTTCTGAAAACGACATAAGTTTTTTTAAACATTCACAGTTTTAAAACTGTATAGCACTTGAAGCTTTGGCAATAATATATTCTTCATTGGGTGACAGTAAATTTGTATGTTTACACTTGATGTTGTATTTGAACGCTTGATTTCCAAATGCACGAAGAACAAGAAGCCAATTTGCACCCACAATTTGTGTTCATTTGCTGTTTTACTGTATATATACATATACTTTTGGTTTGCAAAACTTTGAGTCTAAAAACTACTTCTCTGAGCTATTTTTTTAGCTAAAATTCATTTACATGTAGGAGGGTAAGTTCTTATCTTCATCAACAAAAACTGCAGGAGGAAACTGCAATTGTATGAGTATATCAACTTCACAGATTGCGCACAGTGAGACACTTGCACACGATCAGTTTGGGCCAAATATAACGGTGAACTATACCGATCAACAGACAGTCACTTTACAGCGTACTCAGTTTTCTTTGCATTAGAGGCCAAGAAGGGTCTCATCTCATTTAGCAGAAGATACACGTAACTTTTAGCTGATTTATAGAGAAGTAGAATAATATTAGTGCTGAAGATGGTGTTGCTTGCAGGTAAAATGAAGCAAGCAAACAGGATTGAAAGTAATAAGACGTAGATCTGTTTATTTTTTGTATACTCGATTAACTATGCCACTAGTACAGCAAGTCACCTGCAGTTATACAATGATCTCTCCCTTAGAAGTCAACACAGAACGTGTATTATCTTAACCCTGGCTTGATAGGGAAGATGTTGGTCGATCACATGCTAAGAATACACAATTCTAGGACTATCGGCTGGCAGTTCCACATGCAGTAATAGCAACTTATTGAAATCGAGATTCGCTCGTGGCTGACGACGATTTCGTCAAGTTGCTGAAATGGCATTTCGTTCGTACGTGCACATGTAAGCTCTGAAGCGACACCACCCAATATTTTCCGCAAATGACAGAACACTTTCTCATACCTCTGAGTCCTGCTTTGCATCATTCATTGGTACGCTCAATAATGAGTGTTTTTATCGAACACCACACAAAAGAACTTCGCATCACTTGCACTCACACGAAAACTCAGCTGAATATCAAGGATGTAAAGGAAAGCTGCCCATATTTGGTTAACAATCCCAAATAAAGCCTGCTGAACCAGTCCTCTACGGCCGGGGAAAAATGGCGGCAATTTTTAATAGCGGTGTTTGCGTTTTCCAACTTTTATTGCACATCTTTTTCGGTCCCGGAGGCCGTGGAGTTGTAAATTCAGTTTCTCACGGAATAAACCTGGAGAGTTTAAAGGTACGAATCGAAGGCTAAATCATGCTGTCTGTTTATATTGTATTCATATCAGCTGCTAACAGCTATTTTATTTCTCAATAAGCTATCTGATGCGTGAAGTAGCCTCGAAAAACTTTGGGATTCCTTTGTTGAATTGTTAATCGATGTTAATCTCTGACAGCTAAATTGTTATACCTAATCGTACCTTTTAATAGCAATTTTTGGTACGCTTCGAGGGCATGTCGTGAGTTGACTGTTCGGTCGAGCCATGGTTCGTATACCCATGACAAAACGCCTGGCAAAACGGCACAACTGGATAGGTGTATTGCACTTGCAGACTGACTAGACTGCCGACTACCGAGAGCTAACCGTAAACAGACTAACCTGAGTTACATTCAGGCTAGCTAAGCTGAACGCTATTTAGGCCTAAATGTAGTCTGCATGCATCTGCAAATGTCATACAGTGGGAAATCTTATGACTCTTGCCCGTGGTTATGCCACAAAGCGTACCAAAAGGTACGATTAGGTATTTGTTATAACCTGTGCGTTACCAGCTAATTCAAGAAATCTGGAGGGTTCAGCTCCATTTCAGAAATAAAGTGACAATGACATCTCTTTGCCATATCAGGTCAGTGACTTCGATGTAGCCTGCAGTTAGGCTAGCGCGATACACGAGCACGCGCGCGAAGCGCGAGGCCAAAAAAACAGACATCCGCGGACGGCTACGCGGACTCCGCATGTTCTGACTGATATCAGAACACTAGAAATGGCTTCTTTGTATTATATATAGATCGTTTTCACTGTCACGCAATAAAAAAATAAATCAAAAAAAAGCTAAGAAATTGTGATGTTATAGGAGATAACTAAATAAGACACTTCTCCAAGTTTTAGGCCTGTGCGTTTCCCCAAACTTCAGATATTCGTCGAATGTTTCGCAGAAATTTACAGAGCCCAGTATGAAAACGCCATGTTGGTGTACATCCGATCCGTGGTACACCAAAAACTTACCATGGCTATCTAAGTGACCAAGGGAGGCGCGGTGGCCTCATGGTTAGTGCGCTCGTCTCCGGATCGAGCAGTCGGGGTTCGAGCCCTGGCCGGGGACATTGTGTTGTGTTCTTAGGCAAGACACTTTACTCTCACAGTGCCTCTCTTCACCCAGGTGTATAAATGGGTACCGGCGAACTTAATGCTGGGGGTAACCCTGCGATGGACTAGCATCCCATCCAGGGGGGAGTAGAAATACTCCTAGTCGCTTCATGCTACAGAAACCGGGATAAGCTCCGGCCTGATGGGCCACTTGGCTCGCATGCAGACTTTACCTTACCTTGTCTACGTGACTGATAATCATTACTGAACAAACAAGCATTTACATAAGCACTTTTCGAAATGCTCTAACTTCTAACAAGGCTCAAAATCATGGGACAAGTATATATTTTTCAACAAACTCGACCGTAGCCTTGTGTCACACACCTCCATAACCCTGAAATTCAAACTGCTCTGGTTTCCAAAGAAAGCAAGCTATTGAGTTGTAAAATTGTAAACAGACATAAATACACCGCCTCTTATGCCTGATGAGGATAAAAACTCTGGTGGCTCTTTAGTTTTGGATTTTAGAAAGTGATGACGTCACGTGAAAACGATCTATTGGCTAACTGCGAATTTGGCTACGGTAAAGTGGGCAGACTAAACGGGACAGGAAGGCAGCAGCGCGAGGAGGGAGTGGAGTATGGGGGAACGTAACGATGTTTGGATTTCTTGTTTGAAAAAAAGAAGGCATTTTCTCTTACAATGGCTGGGGGAATGAGCGGGAGGTAGCAACTTGTGAAGCGGGTTGCAGTTCGCACATGTATCCAGTTGTTCAACGTTTTTCAGCATAATGACGTTGCCTGACAACTTGCAAAGAAATGTGTTTTTACCACATTATTTGCTTGTAGGATCGATGAAGGAATGCAGTCCGTTATTTAGATTAATTCGTGTCCACGCGTGATGACCCAAATATTCCGGCGAAAACAGCTGCAAAGTAAACTGCCAAAACTGGAAGTAAACGACTGCAGTATTGGCTTAGAGAGTGGGTGTAGTGGTTGAGTGATCGCGCTCATGACAGATTGATTGTTCCATCCGGGTTTCATGGTTAAAGACAGATATCATCTAGACTAGGAGTTTGTGTCACAGTGTTTTCGGTTTCGTCAATTAAACATGTTTGTTACTTAAAATCCCCCAATCTCGAAGGCTCACAAACAACAGAAAGCAGGAACTCCCAAAAATCGAGACTGATTCTTTTTTTTTTTTTTTCAGGTTTTTATTCAAAACAAAAGTCACTAAAAGATACTAACACATTTAGGCTAACATATTAACCCGGATTTTATTAAGTATTAACTGCGCAAAAGTTACGAGCCACCAAAAGTAGGGATGAGAAAATACCGCTATTGAAAACTAAAAAAATGAAGGTATTGGATGAGGGCGATAAAACTAAAATAAAATGTCTGGAACGTTCTTTCCTCTATTTAATGGGTCGTTAGAAGTTTTCTGTTTCGTTAATCAGTCCTCAACTGACGCGAACTGAAAAGCTTTGGCACCAAAGTCGATACCGAAATAGATAACAGGAAACATCTTGAACCAGGGGTAACAGATCGTTTGAAAATGAAAGAAAAATTTAGAACCCGCAAAAGTTTTCTTTCCATTTGGCAAAAATTTAAAGATTGGCTCGAGTTTTGGCAGCCTCGACCGACTCCGACAGCATTTCAGAAAAAGTTGGCAGCTGTCCGAAGCGTTTCCTTCGCGTATAAACAGTGTTCAATTTTTAAACAAACAAAACACATGCGCCTGAAAGTTATTAACGTATTATGAAACGGCATGTGCTTGCCGAAACAAACAGTTTCCCACCTGCCACTATGGCCGCTACAAAAGGAGAAACAAGTTAACTGTTTTCGTTACAGTCGACAAAACAACACACTGTACTGAAAAATTACAAGTTATCAGGAATTACACATACATGTACAACTTTGTTTCGAAGTCAAAACTACTATTGGTATTTTGAGCATTTTGAGACAATGCAGGCTAGACTTGTGAAAGAAGCTTGAAATTATAAACAATAAATGAACATATAGTAGATGTTAATGGCGGCTTTTTACAAATAACAGTGGGATTTGAAAAACAGTAGGCGGAGAGAAAGAGTATGGCTCGCTGGGCGATAAAATAAATAAAGCAATTTTGTCTTTTTCAGAAGCTATTTTAATATAGCAAAAGGCCAATTTAGGCCCGATTCAGACGCCGTACTTCATACGAACTTAATTCATTGAATTTGATTCCGATCATGTGAAGTACGGCGTCGAAGTAAGAAGTATCGGGCCTTGGCGGTTTCCAGCGGTATCTGTCGGCCGGTGCCACACAAAGCAAAAGTGAACTGTGATCTGCATGCAATCAATCTCTTAATGCAATATATTGTGTTTTAGCTGCGGTTCACATGTCTCAAGGCGTGACTGACACGTTTTCACAACTGTCGCGCCAAAGACACGAAACTCGTGTTGGTTAATTCAAATATGACTACACAGGATGTCCTCGGTCGGATGTCAAGAAACTGTTTCTGTATATATTGGTCGCGAAAACTCTCCAAAATTCGGCTTCCCACGATCACAAAAGCTTTATGTTATTTAATTTATTGAGTTATCAAAAGGACAAAACCAATTTTAAATGTAGATTAGTTTTGTTTTTGCCAAGACGTAATTGGTCCAATTTCAAGTTTCGGATTGAAAGATAAGAAATAATAGACTTTTAATAACCAGGCCTTTCAAACCGTCCTAGTTTCGACACAAAAACTGGAACAACAAAAGTTCCCGTTATTCACGCTACATTAACGCTGATAATATTAGACTTCTTTTTATAATGCCATAGGAACGTTCTGCAAAGATTAAATTCCTTATAAAGCCAAAAGTTCCTCAATATTGTACAAGCTATACCATCGCCAAGAAAGCCTGTCAAATACACGTCAAGCTGTTTGTTCAGACGAAAGTCGTTGTTAACATTTGAGTGGGTGTAAATCACATGAATATTTACAAATCCACGTGTTTTCAACTCGAGGTTGCGGCGCTCTGATTAATTTTTTTGTTTCCCTAAGGCGACCACGTTGAATTTTCTGGTGGTATATCGAAAGGGGAAAAAAATCAAGACTTTTTCGCTCTATCGGGGCTTTCATTTTGCCATTTCAGCGAGGCCAGCAAAATGGCAGTTAATCTTTCTATCGCGACTGGTTTGTTTTGCTTGAGCATCTGGACAATTCTTACATTAGCATCGCCAGCCGCCATCGTCGACTTGTGCGGTTTCGACGAAATCAGCGAGGAAAATGTTACGCTTTCGTTGAACTTCTCCAGCGAGAATGAGATGAAACAGGGCACCGAGTGTGGCCGTGTTATCTTCCTGGAGTCCTCGAGGGTGAAGCTCGTCGTTGAAGAATTGAACATTGCAAGCGGAGCGGTCTTTGAAATCCAGGACGGTCCTGGGCCGAATAAAGGCCAAATTCTCGGGCCCAAAGCTGACAGTCAGTTGCCTTCGATTTATGTAAGCTCAGGTAATGCTTTGTTTATTTTGTTTAAGAATGGTCAAGGCGAAAAAGGCCCTTCGAGTTTTCGCGGGAAAATTGCCTCTGAACCGTATCAACACACGTGCAATTGTCGAGGAGTCATGAATGGGTTGCTCGAATGCTCTGAGAGTGATCGTGAAAGAAAGTGTAAAGTGAAGTGCGAACCGTCACACATGTATCTATCAATAAATAAAGAAGTAACGTGTGATCTCGTGAAAGGAGAGTGGGACATTGATAAACATAGCACGCCTTTCTCTTGTCAGAGGGTGCAAAAACCATTACAAGTCAAGGCGACGGTGAATTTTAATTATGCTAATCTATCATGTGAGGACATCGATCGGAAACAAGTCCAAAATGCCTCAGGGGAGTTCATCAAAAAGAACAGCGACGTTCAAAACAAGGGTGTGTGTTTCAGTTCAGGTGGCAACTGTAACGGAACAAACCTCAGTTGCACGGATGACAATAATTCAGCGAAGGTAACTGTCACTATTACAGATCGCATAGTGGAACCGCCAACATTGAAAGAAGCCAATTCAAAACTTCAAGAGCTAGTCACAGCTTACGAAAGCCTGCAGCTTCTAACCATTTTGGACTCTGACGAATTGGTCATGAAGAAAGACAATAAATCATTTAAGGCCGACAAGGGTTCATTTACCAAAAAGATTGCCCCTCTGTGTAATGACCAATATGACTACATCAAGGTCCCTGGCAATGACACTTTTGTATGTTCCACCTGCCCTCTGCATCATGAATATAATGGTACATCTCACATCTGTCAAATATGTCCCACTGGCAGTTTTACATCTGAAGGAGCCAAGAACTGCACAAAGAAAAACAACACTGCAATGTTGACTCCAATCAACAATTCATGCATGAATGCGTGCATGAAAGGCAAACGGTTGGATGCAAGTTCTGAGATGTGCGAATGGTGTCCTTTAGACACATACCAAAACTCCTCAATGAAGCTCAACCCAGAATGTGTTCCTTGTCCTGATCAAAAGAAGACCATTTCTCCAGGGGCTCAAAGCGTGTCAGAGTGCCTTGACCCTTGTTCATCTGGTACCTTCCAGAACACTTCGAGTGCTTCATGCCAAGATTGTCCCATTGGCTCCTATATGGATGTTGACAAACATGTATTCACTAAGTGCAAGACATGTTATATGGGGAAGACTACAAGTGCTGTGGGCAGCAAAGACAGTGATGACTGTTACAGCAAGTGCATACCAGGGCAGTTTTATAATTCATCGGCATGTGTCACACTTTGTGGACCAGGACAGTTTCTCAACAGCTCCACAGATAAGTGTGATGACTGTCCAATGAATACATATCAGGACCTTGAAGAGCATCATTCCAGTGAATGCAAGCCATGTGGCTTAAATAAAATCACTCAGGCTACAAGACAGTCCAATATTTCTCAGTGTGGTTGTAGCAAGGGCTGGTACATGGATAAATCTGACTCTCAGTGTAAAAAGTGCCCTAAGGGGCAATACCAGGATCACTTTGGTCAAGAACAGTGTACACAATGTCCTGATGGTAAAAGCACAGTCAGCGATGAACAGTCAGATGAGTCATCTTGTCTTGCCACTTGCAGTGAGGGACAATTTTTTGATCCCATCAAGAAAGCGTGCAATGCCTGCCCCTATGGCAGATACCAGGAAGCCAACAATCATTTTCAAGAGAACTGCAAAATGTGTCCAAGCAAGAAGACAACTGTACAGGAAGGTGCCAGTGACCCCAAAACTTGCATACCAACAGCCACAGCCAAGGAGGAGAAATTTGAAACAATCAAGACATCTCTTAGATTTGTGTCTCTAACATGGAGTGAGGAACTCAAAGACAAAAACAGTGCTAAATACCAAGAGGCAAAGCAAACTATAGAGGCTGCAATCAGATTTGAGTTTCGTCACGATCCATCGTTTGAAGCTGTTGAAGTCACCAACCTACGAAACGGTAGTGTTTTTGCAGAGTTTGACCTTCAATTTAATGATAAAGCTGATTACGAGCCTGTAAAAATCCTTCAAGATGCTGTACAAAATGGTAAAGTGGGAAACTTGACAGTCTCTCCATATTCATTCAAAATCTTAGACCAAGGCTGTGGTCAACCTCTTGGCATGGAAAATGGTCAAATAAAGGATGACCAAATAACAGCGTCAACTTACTTCAAGAACTATGAGCCATATGAAGGAAGATTAAATGCCAAAGGAGGGCGAGCATGGCACGCAAAGTACACCAGGAATATAGAGTATTTGCAGATTGATTTCAGGAGAGAGGTCAACATCACAGCTGTTGCCACACAAGGACAATCCACAAATGCATTTTATGTGACAGCATACAAGCTCAGCATGAGTGATGATGGAGAAATGTGGAATGAATACAGAGAAAATGAGAAGCCAAAGGTACTAGTAGCCATAATCTAAATTCAAATTGACAGCCTACAGTACCGAAAATCTTCAAGTTAGCGTCCCCCTCCCTCAAATAAGCACCCCATTCAAATAAGCACCCCTCCTATCAGCCAAAATTTCACTCCCCCCATTTTGTTGACAAGTAATGAGACAACAAAGGATGTATAGTTTTTGTTGCGTAGTATTAGATTTGTGCATTGTTTCAGTTTGTGAACATGTTAAGTTTGGAAAAAAATTGCCACGATTTAAACTTTAGGATCAGCATTTTATGTTGATAAACAGCTTAATATGTAGTGTTGTTTACGCATAGATGATGTATTTAAAAAATGATCATGTCAGGCCACGATTTGGGAAAAATTAAATAAGCACCGCCCCCTCCCCTCGATTAAGCATCCCCCTCAATAAGCGCCCTCATCTTGTCCTAAATTTGAAATAAGCGCCAATTCGATGATTTACCGTATTCATAAGCAAACATATGTAATGTGTTGGATGAGGAGGATCCAGATACCAACAGTCAACAAAATCTGATCATGAAAACTGGGAGGTCAAAATAGTAGGTCAAAATAGTAGGTCAAAATTTAAGAAAAGGGTAGGTTCTACAATTAAGAGTGGCAAATGGCCCTTCAAAAGGTACAAGTCTTGCAAAGTTTAAGTCAAATTTCACAGGTGTCATCACTTAGGAGCCATGCCTTGTTTTGGGTGTACGAACTTATTATTGTCTTGTATTTACTATTTTTCAACAGGGACCATGTTTAGGGCTAAGCAGAGGCTAAGTCATATATAAAAGATCGAGTTATCTTATTTTGATCATATTGAAAATGTGGCGGATGACTGAAGAGGCTTGAAACAGAATTCAAAATAGAGGAACAAAATACTATCATGTAATATTATTATTCGACCACGTACCAGGGTTTGGTGGTTTTCAAACAAGTATTGGATGAGGTTTTTGTGATATCCAGAATAATGAAGGTCAAGGTAGAGGTTATCCGCCAAAGCCGAACCATCACCCTAGTAGAAAAGGCAGGATGTCTTGTTCTTCTCGTTATTCCAACACATTCCCAGCTATAGCCGTGGCATTCAGCATTTCTCAGAAAAGTGTTACTTGATGATAAAGGCAGGCTAATTCATTTTTAAAGGTACTATCCTCGTCAGTGTTCTAGAATGAGAGTTTTTTTATCTGTGTTTGTGCAGGTGAGCATGCGTGGAAGCATAACAATGCTAAATGAATTGTGCATCAAAATTATTTCAAACTAGTTTCATTGCGTTTTCCTTTGTTCCAGGTTTTTTGTCTTAACCCACCATAATCCTGAAACCAGAAAATACATCAAACTGGTTTGAAATCATTTTGATCTACAATTCATTAAAACTGTAACACATGTGTTGTTAGGCCACTCCTTCAATAAATAGTATAATAACTAGAATTTTTACATTAGGTTTTCAAAGGAAATGATGACTCAGACACTACTGTGAGAAACAGCCTGGCATTAGCAGTTAGATCGCGATTCATCAGATTTCTGCCACAAAGTTGGAATGACCGTATTTATATGCGTGTGGAAGTCTATGGCTGCCTTCCTGTCAATGTACTTCTACCAACTAAGCCTACAACTGACGGAGATGCTGCTGCAGTGACAGCAAAGAATGATGAAAAGTGGCCATGGGGTGCATATCTTGGCATTGTTTTTGCAATCCTGCTTGTCGTTGGAGTGGTGGTTGCAGTCATCTGCTGGAAGAAAAAGAGCAATGCCAAGAAACAGGAAGCTGAAACAGACGAGGCATTGATGGGAATGCACAAGTCCGGTGATGGGGAATACCGAGTTATTGAAAAAAATGCTGCCGAGCCTGATGAGGATGATGAAAATGTTGTTTGATAGATTTATCATTGTGAAGTTAAAATTAGTAATCAGGAATGAAAATGGCTAGAAGACTTGTAACTTTCCAAAATCAAACTAAACTGATTGAAATCTTTACATCATCTTAAAATGTTTGTCATGAGGTTATATCAAGCCAATACACAACTTAGTTATTGATCAGTTTTTGGAGATCATTTTTGTTGAACAACTCTTTTAGTGTTGGAAGTACATTGAAAGTAGTTTAGAGGTAGTCATTCAATACTTTACAGGAGAAGTGATAGATTTCTTTTTGGAGCATGTTGCCATGTCTATCTACTGCCCAAACTTGTCAGCATTAAGACTGTCCAAAAAGGTCAATTTTACAACATTTTGAGCTCTGTTTCTTTCAATGCTGTTATAAATTACTAATGATTGTCTACCAAGTTGTGTTCTTTATTTGCATTAGGCAGACTTCTCAGTCAGTATCTGGTAATACTCTTCCAGCTCTAATCCATCCCCACTGCATAACCAACTTGCAACCAAATAGAGAGAAAAAGACAATAAACATTCAGGACAGTATCCCATTTAGAGCTTAGCTTAAGAGCACAGCCACCTTCTCCTTTCCCTCTGCTACACAGGTCTTTAATGGTACAAATCCTCCTAGCAGCTGAAAGCAGTGAGAGGCAGATAAATTTGCAGGTTATCCACTTTCCCTGGAGTGTTTTTACCACTCAGAGAGTTGCCCATAATGATGTATTGGCCTGAAACTTGAGACTTCACTTGTAGCTATTCCAAATAGTCTGACAAGTCAACCCTTCCCCCTTCACTCAACTGCTCTCTGTGTTCAAACTTTACAGTTGGAGCCAGTCTGTGACCGTGCTTTGGATCAGAGCCACTTCACAGTGGTGCTTAGCCTAGTTGTTTTAGTCTTGTTTTCCTTTGATACAAGCATCGTAACATGAGCATATTATATGTAGGCAATATGAGTGTATTAATCTGATGGAGAGTACCGGTATTCAGATGAGAATCTAGGAGGCTATAGAATATTATTCAATACAGCAGTAGCTGCTGATTTTTTCATGTTGAGTTTTGCAGTATGTTATAAAACTAGCTGTGTAAAAGGCAACCATGTGGCTAAGTGTTATGTATATTTAATCTTCACTTCTTAAAGTTAATTAAGACATCACTAAAATGCAGCTGCTTTTAGAAAATATAGAGATTGATTCTAGAATTCAAGGTAAAGCTAAATTAGAAACTGTAAAATAGTTCCCAAGTAGATGATTAAAAATAGATCTCAATGATTTCATAGGAAGTTTGCAAAGTATTTTAGAGCTGATCTAGTAATGATATTTAACAAAAATAATATGTAGTTAAAAGATAATTATGATGAATAATTATTAATATTTAGAATGATAAAAAAGGAACCACCTATAGTATTTATATATTTGACTTTTCAAGCCATGCCATATACTTTGTAGGTTTGCAATAAACAGATACATACAAGAAATTGCTTTGGATTTGTATTATGTCATCCTGGGAGACCAAGGGGCAGCTAGTCGGGATGATTTGATATTTTCGAGTGACGCAATAGTTTTGGGCGAAAGTTTACTTTAAGAGCGGAAGAGCTAGCCACTCTCCCGCTGGTCTCCAAGGATTGTATTATGTAAAAGGACAACATACTGCCAATTTAGAAATAACTGGATGAAAAAAATTCCAAGGACTGCCATTAAGGTCCAATTTGGCTGTCAGAGAAATTTTGGAATTCGTGTAATTATCTCCAAATTTGACTACGATATATGGGTTATTGACCAAGTGTGAGGTCATTAGATAGCTGAATATTGGCCAAGTTATCTTTTTGCATGGTTATGGACCGAGATGGAGTCAAGGTCCATAAACATGCAAAATAGGAATGAGGCCAATATCCAGCCATGTTGACCTGACAAGCTTGGTCAATAAAGGATTTATTACATGGAAAAAGAACACTATTTCTTTTGGGACACAGTGGGTAATCCCAGGCAGGCAAGATAGCACCATCTAGTTCCATTCCAATACCAAGAATACGAATATGGCCTATTAACTGATACTGCATGTCCAAATTACTTGATAATTTGGATACTATCTAAATATTAAGGAAGGAATAAATTTGAACAGTTTGCTTTGTGTGCATATTTACACGTGATATGAGCTGGTATATGCATGACTGATTGGTCTGACTTGTGACGAGGAGCTGAGGGCAGGGGGCAGGAAAGGAAGTTGGAGAGAAAAAAAAAAAACATTCTGAGTAGCTGTGAAGAAGGCAAATTTCAATACTCTCCAATGATGCATGCAAAGTAAACTGAGGTTTTGTGTTCTTCTCACTAGTTGCTGTTGAAGTAAAAGTGGTAACAAGTGTGTGAAATAACATCCGTTTAATCCGGCCCATTAACAAAGAGTAACTCCTGATCAAAACAGTTGGTACCAGTATCTCTTGGTACTTGTATGTACAGACCCCGGTACTGCAGACGCAAGTACCGATCAAATCATGTCAAATGCTTATCCAGCCCCTGCAAGCTGTGCTGTTAGGAGGCCTTATGGTATTGTCATAGTCACTGAAGAGCTGCCCTCTTTTAAGATGTATTTTCTCTACTTTAAATAACGTGTACTCAAAAATCTAAGGATAATCTTTGCCCGGGATCATCATCTTTGCTTACCTTGAGGTCAGTCACCCGGGATCAGCACCGTTCACCCGTTCTTGCGTTGTGTGATATCTTCTACGTGGCGCTCAAAATCTTGCGTGACAGAAACAGTTGTACAAGTATGAGTGTTGCTTATGAAATCCTACCTCATCAATATTTGTTCTGCTCCGCTAAAAATGGGTTCTTGCGATAGAGCCGGGTCGAGCGAGACATTTGAGTTGAATCTTTGAACCCAAATCCTTACCTACTGGACCGAAAATTAAAATATGAATGGCGTAAACGCAAGAGTAGCTTTCATTACAGTAATGCATTGCGCGCCACCTAGTGTAGTGAAATGTCACATGTTGGTCAGTCAGTTGTTAGGCAATCCTGCTCGAGGCCAATATGGCGGCCGGTGAGTACGTGTCGTGTCTCACGTTCGTCGCATTATGCAGTTTTTAACTTTATTTTTTTCTTCAGCAAAAAGCCAGTACACTGCTCAGATCAAGACTCTTCCCCTGAAGTGTGGAAAATACCGGTACTTTGATGTGTCCAGCTTAAACGAAGAAAGATATGGTATGGCAAATTCAAGTTGAAAAGCTACGAACTTCCCTTCAAAAAGTTGAGGGGCAAGTTCAGTTATGTTATTCTGTAAGACTACTCTTGATCAGTGATATGTACATACTTTGGGCATATTTCATAGTCTAAAGTTCACTGTAAGCGTACAATCTCGTATTTAATTTTTTCGACGCCATTGATATAGAATTAATTTATGTGAGGTAGTGAACTATGCCCCTTGTGATTATTCATGTGATCTTGAATGAAAAAGTTTTGATGTTTGTGAGATTCTTGTCATTTCTTCAGTTTTTAATCTAGTTTTTTGCTTTAAGAGAGTCTTAATTAGTTAACTGTGTTTCTTTTTCTCCGGAAATAGCTTTTTTTATTGACTGCCTCACTACTGCTAAATTAATTCATACTCTGAAGAAATGTAGAAAATATCATATCATCTGTAATTCCTGTTTTGCTATTGTGGTCACTGCTGACCTATTAGATGACATGCATCAACAAGATTGCTAATTCATTTCTAGAATTGTTTGTTTCACCCACGTGGTTTGAGCTTGGTTGCAAAATATCAATATTGGACTTGACCTTGATGTCTGACCTTCCCTTAACTTATATTGTGCCTTTACTGAGTAACTTGAGTGACCAAACATCTCTCTTACAATTTTCAATTTCGCTACTTGAGTATATATATATCAGGTTACCTGATTTACAAGTCAAATGCACTTCACTTAGCTGAAGTAATAGATTGGTTAGCCTAAAAGGACTGTGGACAGCCTGAATGGCATTTCAGTTATCCTGGTTGTTGTTCTGGTTAGCCTGAATATTGCATTGGGTAGCCTTAATACTGTTTCAGATTACCTGAATATTACTCAGGTTAGCCTAAGTATCGCTCAGGTTAGCTTGTTTACAGTTAGCGCGTGATAATGGTGTTTATAGCACAATATATACTTGAAAGAATTGGTGACTCCTAAACTCTTTTGACTTATAAATATTGAGAAAAATACTGGTTCTCCTGAGTTATGATCGTAAACAAATATCACACTGATGACTATGAATGTACCTGTACTTGTACATGTAGTTTTACAGTGATCTGAAGACTGGCTGTTCCTTAGCATGAAAATTTCAATCTGAGCAACAAACAATTATTAACAATCTGAAAGTCTAATAAATATGCAAATAAATTGATTGTGGTCCTACATATACAGAAAAAATTGTACAATCTAATGGATCTCTTTACTGTAGAGTTATTTTACCTGAATATTAATGGAATTTTTCTGGCTGATCTCAGATGTCTATCTGGCAAGGAGAGGATTGAGTGTGTTGAGAGAGGTTAAACGTAGTACATGTAGTCATTCAGATATCTTTTCGCTGCTCTTATCCTTGATGTATTTGATCTGACTTTCTGCAGCCCGCCTACCATTTTCAATCAGGGTACTGTTGGAGTCTGCCGTTCGTAACTGTGATGGCTTTCAAGTGAAATCCAAGGATGTTGAAAATATACTGGACTGGGAGAATAACCAGAAACAAAATGTTGAAATCCCTTTCATGCCTGCAAGAGTCATCCTCCAGGATTTTACGTAAGTTGTCCAAAAGATGAATGTTTCTTGTAAACCAGTCATTGGATAATTATGTATGTACTAGATATTTTCCACTTACCAGACTTAATGTATGCGTGAAGCAAACAACAAAAATTATCTTCTTAGACCACTAGATAACATTCACCTTAATAGCCCATTTCTGAGTTGACCTATTGCTCTCTATCAAAGCAAAGCCTGGTGCACAACCATTCATATGAAAATGAGTTTAATTTGCATGTGAATGAAATTGCATTTTCATGTGAAAGGATCGGCACCAAGGCTCACTTTGAGAAAGAGGTGGTAATTTGGAAATGGCCTATTGTACTGTAGTGTAAGTTACGCCACATGATCCCAAGTGGAAAAGAGTTCATACAACAACTTTCAGCCATGCCATCAGTTTTATTGATGCCATGAAGAGAAATAAACATACTTTTTTGTTTTTCAGTGGTGTTCCTGCTGTGGTGGACTTTGCTGCAATGCGGGATGCTGTTAAAAGACTTGGAGGAGATCCAAGCCGAATCAACCCACTGTGCCCTGTTGATCTTGTCATTGATCATTCAGTGCAGGTTGATGTATCGAGAAGGTACGTAAGTCTTTGTTTGGGTTTTCGAGACCAGTCTGTAAGCTTGACTAAGGTTCTTTGTCGAGTTAGTGATACCTTAACTGAGGGGTGCATATCAACCAGAATGAGGTGTGAACATTTGGTTGAGGAGACAGTTTTTTTGGATCAGTGCTCGCTTTTGCTAAGAACATTATTTTGAGAATCTAAAATAAATGCTTCCTGGCAATCACTGCAGTGCAGCCCAGAGAAAAACTTGTACTGCTTTCCATAATTCATGCCTCATATACATTCTTATCTAATAATCCTGATCTAATTTGCCTGCACAATATTTTTAAATGGATGGAGATGTATGTACCACTGCATTCTCCTTGGTAACAAGAGAAGAAATGTATGGCAATCAGTCAGGAGAATTTCTATCTTGACCCAGACTTAAATTTATAAGCCTGTGTCCTAACACCAGTAGCTACCAAAGATTGTTTATCTGGAAAATAGGAAAAAAAACAAAAAATGTTTTCCTGCATGTTGCCTTATTTTTCTGTCTTTATCACTTGTGCAGATACTATTTTTATTTCATTTTGCTATCAAGATATGGCTTTAAAATAATAACAGTGAGGTGATGTTGTTTTTCATACCTGTTTTTGAGTTTGCAAACTGTATTATTAATATTGTCTCAAAATGCTCTGAGAGGCTCTTTGCTCCATCACAATGGCCAGTCAGAAAATGCTTTCAACACAACCTTTCTGTTAAGGCCATTTATTTCTTTTGAATTTCTAAATACTTTTATTTAAGTCCAGACCATTAACTTGCTCAAGGTTACATCAGGACTATAACAGAACAGAATATCTGATGTTCTTTTTTCAGTCAGAGTCGGTTGTTTGATCCAGGGGGCAACTGGCCTAAGAAGGACGATCCATGTCCATTTCATTTGATGCCCATTGACTGGTGCGATGTCACTCTTTTGTTTCATTGAACTAAAGCATTAAATGTTGTTTGAGTGCTGTTTCTACTCACCATTGGCAATTTGAATGGTGATTTCTGTGGCTACTGGTGTTTGGAAAGAACAGAAGTAAAAGTTGAAAAGTTTCCTTCACTTCTGTTGTAATGAAAAGGGTGATCTTTGCTTGCATCAGCATTCAGTGGTATAATCTAAGAATGCATTTCTTGGTTTAAAAAAATTAATTATTAGATTCTTAAATCCGAAAAAAGGAAATTGGGTTTCTTTAACTGCACACATAAATCCAAGAAAATTAATGTAAATTCCATTGTGAATTTAATAATCCAGTCTTGGATTTTCCTAAAGAAACACACCATCCCAAAGTTGAATATTTCAATTTATTCAGGCAGGTGTATGGTATAGAATTGGTTCTCAGCACAGTGTCTGTGCCATATATAGGATCAGTTGCAAACAGAAGAGAAACAATTTGAAATTGAACACCTGAAATCTAGTCTCCAAGTCAGGTGGATTTCTAAATTATGCTGTATATGAAAAATAGCAAAGCCCTGTTAGAGAAATGCATCAAAAATGAAGAACTAAAATCTGACTAGTTTTCAAGTCAGGTGAATTTCTAAATTTGCGATGTTAGTGATAATGTTAAAGCAAAGATCACCTTACTGTCATGTTATTAAAACATTGTTAAATATACTATTCTCCTTCCTGGATGGTTTTATGCAACTAATAATTATTACTAAGCTTGTATAGTTATATTACTGTATTATCTGTGGTTTTTCCTCTGCTACAGCTCTACTGCACTTCAGAAGAATCAGGAAATGGAGTTTATGAGAAACAAGGAAAGATTTCTTTTCCTGAAGGTACTCCATTTACTGGCTCATTTCATGTCCATTTTGAGTAATTTTTTTGTAATGTTGCTGGTGTGCTTACTCACTTATTTATCTGCAAGATGAAGAGCTGGATTGTTCTTACTTTTAGCCAAAAAATGTCAAATAAAATTATGGTTAATAATAATATTTCTCATAGTTTAGATTTCAAGTTATTGATTGGCTGAACAGTTCTTTGTGGCCACTGAAATGTGATGGTTGAAATCACATGACATTCTCAAAATATAATTGGTTTGGTGTACATCTGAATGTGCAGTGCTGTTTTGTAGTTGTGTTTTCGCATATTGATGCTGTAACAAGCTTCTCATGGAAGTGTTCTTTGTATCTGTTATGTTATTTCTGCAGTGGGGCTCAAAAGCATTCAAGAATATGACAATTGTCCCACCTGGCTCAGGCATAGTTCACCAGGTATGTATCACTGATATATTATGGATTAGAAGCTTGCTCATATATTTGATAGGCAACTAAAGAACTAGGCATTAATAATCATTGTTATAGTAATGATTAAATCAAACTCCTCAATGAGGTTGTGCATTTTAGGCCCAGGCCAAATGTGAACCTTCATATGAGATGAACTAATCTGAGCGAATTAAGTTCATGGTACATTTGAGTTTGATTTGACTGAGTTTGTCCAACTGAATTTAGATCGTCCAACATGTCCTATCTGCCTGCTTCAGATAATCAGAATGTGTTTGTCTGTCTAAATTCCAATTAAGTTTGACCCAATGGCCAAACTTTACCCATTTGGATTGACTCAATTTGCAATTTAGTTTGTCTCGTGTGTAGTCCGAGGTTTGACCAGGGCCTTAGAGACCAACATTGGCAAGGCAAAAACCTGTTTTCTGCTGCATCCCAGGATTTCAATTTTAATTTTGTTCCAAAACCTGATTGCTTAGTTACTGGTTTGGCTTTCAGGTCAACCTTGAGTATCTTGGCCGTGTTGTCTTCAACGTGGAGAATGTGTTGTACCCTGACAGTGTTGTAGGAACAGACTCCCACACAACCATGATCAACGGGCTTGGAATTGTTGGATGGGGTGAGAAATTCTTTTTAACCATTGAAGAGGACAAGAGTGAAAATGTTAACTTGGCTTTGGCCATAAAAAATTATCAGTAATGATTATGTGTTATGTACGTTCTCTGCCTTTTATATCTAAGAATTAGTGTCAAGTCTAACCTGACATCAGAAACCTGCATAGTCTAGACCATATGATTGTTTAGTGCACTTGCAGAAGATAATTAGATATTAAATGGGAGTGTGAACTCCAAGTGCATCACAATGGGACCAGGAATCCAAGCGCTTCCATCCATGAGCATTTCAAAATAAAATTACTGGTTATGATGTGTGTGAATGGTTGACTTCATAGCAAATGGCTCTCTTTGTTTACTTTGTTCTTTTGTCAAATATTCAGTAGTAAGTGCTTTCTTTGGAATAACATTTTCCAGGTGTTGGAGGTATTGAAGCTGAAGCAGTTATGTTGGGTCAAGCCATCAGTATGGTGTTACCTAAAGTTGTTGGCTACAAGCTTACTGGGCATGTGAATCCATTTATCACATCTACTGATGTTGTGCTCACTATTACAAAGGTAAAGAGACAATTTTGCATTTTAGATACCTGTACATTTTATTTTCAAATTTTCTGTTCTAAATTAACATGTGCTTTTGTTTGTTTTAATCCATCAGCACCTTCGCCAAACTGGTGTTGTGGGTAAATTTGTGGAGTTTTTTGGACCTGGTGTTGCTCATCTGTCCATCGCAGACAGAGCCACCATTGCTAACATGTGTCCTGAGTATGGTGCAACTGTAGGTTTCTTTCCAGTTGATGAGAAGAGTCTGTTGTATCTTAGACAGACAGGTAAAATATTTAGTTACTGGTACTCATCGTTATTACTGATCACATGTAGCATGTAATCTTTAGGTTAAATATCAAATCTTGCAGGAATTCTAGATCAAGTGAATCCGTTATTTTATAGCATGCTGGCAAGATGCAGCAGCGTAAGGATTAACACTTCAGACTTCAGATCAAGTGACCCAGGTTTCAAATGTGTTTCAGCACGTGGTTAGGGCAATCCGGCAGAATACAGGGGGCTAAATTGCATTGGACTAGCATTCCATCCAGTGGGGAGTGGCCTAGTTACTTCATGTTGTGAAAGAGGGGATAAACTCAGACAGTGTGAAGTAGTTGTACCTATAGCACTATGTTTTTTTTTACGAGCCTTGATCTTGGCAACTGGTAATGAGCTATGTACAGTGTTTATGCCATTACAATGTTTAATATACATGTACAGTTGTGTGTAAGCAGTATCTTGGATCATAATCCGTTCTATTTTTTTACACCAGGCCGCACAGAAGAGAATATTGAATGCGTCGAAGCCTACATGAGGGCTACAAAAATGTTCCGAGACTATTCAGACCCAAGCAATGATCCAGTGTTCTCTGAGGTAGGATAGGTAGAGATGTTTACACAGGAATTTACACTTTGATGAGACAGCCAGCCTCTAATGGATGCTGTGGAAAATGTTTCCTGATGCAATAATAACAAATTCTGGCATAAGTGATGTGGAGAATTCATACAGTTGATTAGGGGAGAGAGATTCTTCATGTCTACACATCCATTTAGTGAAGTTTCTGCCCAGTAAATTACATGTGTGACATTGCATAGGGATTGTTCACCAAAGGTGAATATCTGATTTGTATTAAACAAGGGTTTCATAAAAGGAAACTATCTAATGATGAGTTACAAGACAGGATATCTACTCATGTGTTTTCTTTTGTGGTTACTGTGAAATGTTACTTTTGCAGATTGTTGAACTGGACTTGTCCACTGTAACTCCATCACTGTCAGGGCCCAAAAGACCCCATGACAGGGTTGCTGTGTCAGATATGAAGCAGGACTTTCAGGAATGTTTGAACAACAAGGTTGGATTTAAAGGTTTTGGAATTCCAGCCGAAAAGCAGAATGTAGAGGTTCCCTTCACATTTGAGGGCCAAGAATTCAAGTTATCGCATGGTAAGAATCTGAAGCTTGCTAATCAGCTCTGATTGGTCTCTTTTACACTCACTGATGCTTATAATGATTATTGCTCTCATGCTTTTCCTACCTCTTTTAAGCTATAGTTTTTGTCTGTTTTAAATGAATGCCATTGGTGTTGGGGAATCTATTTTTAAAGAAAAGTGTAGACTTTCTATTGGATTTATCTACAGGTTTTAATTTCTTCTCTATCTTGTTGGTTATCTCTTTAGGTTCTGTAGTGATAGCTGCCATCACTAGTTGTACAAACACTAGTAATCCATCAGTAATGCTTGGAGCAGGGCTGTTAGCTAAGAAAGCTGTTGAGCTGGGACTTGGTGTCAAATCATACATCAAAACAAGTTTGTCACCAGGCTCGGGAGTGGTGACTTACTATCTGCAGGAGAGTGGTGTCACACCAAGTCTGGAAAAACTAGGGTAGGATTCTGTACAACTTGAAGTTACAGTGTACCTGGTATAACGCATATCATGAGTGCTTCATAAGTGAAATGAATGACAGCCAGTTTCAAGTTAGCTTGTGCTTCAATTAACAGTTTCCATAGCATGAACAGAAGGTAGAAGTGCGGTCTTCTATGAGAACAGGGGTTTCATAAAGAGCTGGGAACTGGGCAATTTGACTGGTTGTGAGGATGATTTTGCCTGCTTGGTTTGACTATCTGGGGGGAAGTTTTTATTAAAGAGAAGCTTGATTCAAAACCAGTTGCCCTCCTGATGAAAACGTTAATGAAAGCCCTAGGAAAGGCTTCATTCAGTATTGTAGTGTACTGCTAAATAATAAGTTACACCACATGGACCAGATTTGAACTTCGACACAAAACCATTGGGCCACTGTGCTTCCTGCTTTGTATCAATTCTTATGAAATTTGTCGCATTGCGCTAGATTCTGTTGTGATTTCCCGATTTGTTAGTAGTGCTCTGTTGCACAGAGATAACGTGTTCAGTACCTTTAATGTGATTGTTTTCTATTTGTGTTACTGTAGGTTTAATGTTGTAGGCTATGGTTGTATGACGTGTATTGGCAACTCTGGACCTTTGTCTGAACCAGTATCAGAAGCAATAGAAAAGGTAAATCAATTCTGTTGAAAACCGTTGCATGAGTTTTGAATTATAAATACAGTGTTATTGTTCTAGTCAAAAAGATAAGACCTGTGAAGGATTAATTATTTTGGTGTCAACGTTGTGTTGCAATTCATCTTTGACTGTCTGTCTGTTACTTTTCAGGGTGACCTCGTTGCTGTGGGTGTCTTGTCAGGAAACAGAAACTTTGAGGGACGGATCCATCCGCTAACAAGAGCCAATTACCTTGCCTCCCCTCCCCTGGTGATTGCTTATGCCATTGCTGGCACAGTGCTCATTGACTTTGAGAAGGAGCCACTTGGTAAGCCAATATAATCACAGTAACACCATACCACTCTGTGTTACGTTTGCAGGGTTTGTACTGCTCTTAGAATTCCTGCAAAACCCCTGCAGTTTTACAGTTTTCTTCCAGGGGTAAACTCTGAGAAAATTATCTTTAAAGTACTGACTCCTGAGACATTCCTTGAATTTAAAGTTATGGTAATTTTTAAAAAAGTTTAAATGCTACATGTATCATAACATTTTGCTTTTTCGTAAGTCAGTGTCCAAAAAGTGTAATTTAAACAGCTATACAATAGAAATTTCCCAGTTCTGGATTCTGGAATTTTTATGTATTTGATTTACACATGCAATAGAACAAATGGTAAGGGATTTCTGTTGCATACTTCAGGTATTTCCAAGGATGGAAAAGAAGTTTTCCTTAGGGACATTTGGCCAACAAGGGAAGAACTCCAGGTAAGCATTGCATGTGATATTTATTTCCACAATGCTCATTTTCCAGAAATTTGGGAAGGAATACTTTTGCTAGTAGATGTCAGCGTCTTTTAAAAACCTAATTTGTAGAGTCGTAGTTGTAACTGCAACTAGTACTTGTTACAAAAAGCTAGCACTCAGAGAAATGCAAGGCATGATTTTTACAAGATTTTCTGCCCCCTCGGCCACTTCACCCTCAGCCAGTTCATTGGCCCTTCCAACTGCAGTCAAACCCTTGCAGCCGGAGCCTGTTCACAGGCTACGTGATTTTTGGATCTCATCCAAATAACTTGAATCACTTTTTTGTAGTTGAATGTTCTTCCAGCTAGAGTTTCAGTTCTCACCTTTTTAAAGCAGCTAAATCGAAAGTCTCTAAACCTTTTTGTTTTCTTGCTGATGACAAATTCCATTGTTCATTTTAATATTATCAACAGGTGGTAGAGAGACAGTATGTTATTCCTGCCATGTTCAAAGAGGTCTATGCCAAAGTAACGGTAAGAAGACTTCTATGAATTCTACCAATTTTGTCTTAAGTCGTGTTGTCAGAGCAGCTTTCATTGCTGCAGTACAGATCACTAGAGAACATGCGAATATATGTATGTTTGCCCTGACTTTGCTTTGTTTCGAAATGCTTTTAGTTTAGCCAGCAAGAACGAACTTGTTATCTTGGTCATTTGATCGTTCAGCAAAATCAACAATGAATTGTGATATGATTTTTGCGACTGTTCCTGACCTCGTGGACTGTTAAATTATCTGAAAGAGCTCTGATCTTTCCAGTGAGCATTCTGTGATGACTAGAAAGCTCCTATGTTATTTTTGGTTACACAACTGTCATTAGAAATGACCTCATTAGTGCAGTTCAATCAAAACTCGAAGCAATTACATGTACGTGTAGCCGACACGAAGCGCGGGAAAACTTGTGAGAGCAATTTATGATTGGGTTTGGTTTTACTTCTGATTAAATGACAAAGTGGCGCAGGTTTTTTAGCCTATCGCTTAGCGTGAGACATGTAATGCAAATGCAAAACCAAAACCAATTAAATACAAACTCTACTTTGTACAGAGGTGAAAAGTGCTCTAACAGAGTAAATTTCCATTTGTTTTAGAGTGGTAATCCTCGGTGGAACTCACTGGAGGCACCAAACAGTTTGTTGTACCCTTGGGATGAGAAATCAACTTACATAAAACATCCACCTTTCTTTGAAACAATGGTGAGAATTTATAACTTAATAATATGAACTTGGTTTGCTTTCTTGTGGTACTGTTCTGATGTGACAACTTTCAAGGTACAAGGTATCTGATTAAAGAACTCGTAAATCAGAAGTCAGCAAAAAGTCTGAAAATCCTTATTTATTTTAACTTTCTACAGACTTTGATAATGATAACGAGAATTGTTTCTGTAGCACTTGAATTTTGGCAGTTACGTTTTTACAAGAGAAAATGATTTTTACCAATCCTGGAAAAAATCTTGGTATCGTTTCTCTCATGACTGACGACCTTATTTGAGCCACAATTGATTTTAAATGTTCAAAGGCAGTGTGGTGCACAGCGAAGTTTTCACAATAAGTAAGCACACAATTTCAGTGGAAACTCCCTTCTTTATAATTTTACGAACAGGCTAAGGAGCTGCCGAGCCGTGAAAGTATCAGAAATGCCGCTGTACTGTTGAACTTGGGCGACTCTGTGACAACTGATCACATCTCTCCTGCTGGCAGCATTTCACGCACCAGTCCTGCTGCACGTTATCTGGCTGGAAGAGGGTATGTTTGTTGAGTTTTGTGTATTCTTCGTCTGTTAAAACAGTCATGAACGTTTGATTTCGCTGTTTAGTTTGGCCAGTAGTGTTTGAAGCCTTAATACGAGGGGGTAGCGGGAGGTTTCACTCCCACTCAAGTTCGCTCAGTCTGGGCTCGCATCACACTTTTGCGAGAGGTTGACCGCGTTCGCTCTCTATTCTGTCGTCGTGTATCTTGATGTAAGTTTAAAAACAACTGAATTACCAGTATTCCGAAATTTCGTCTTTAGCAGGAAAAAGAGGCCGCTACTTTCGGGTAGCCGGTACTTTACATGTGCTTTCTGGATTGTCCAGTAATCTTTGCAGTCACAGTGATATTATTTTATTGTTTAAGTATTCGAGCCGTTACTTTCGGGGGAGCGTTTCTTTCGAGGGGCCGTTACTTTCGGAATTTTCGATACAATGTATCAAAGTCTATCAGACTCCGATTTTAGTTAGGTGAGAATACCGACCATGATCTCACTGTTAAGCGTGAGTACATGGAGTGAATGTTGGCTTTCAATGTCTTTTCAGGCTTGCTCCTCGTGAGTTCAATTCATATGGTTCCCGTCGAGGAAACGATGCTGTAATGGCACGTGGAACATTTGCCAACATAAGACTGGTCAACAAATTCATCGGAAAAGCTGCTCCTAAAACTGTTCACATTCCTTCTGGAGATACGGTATGATGATAAACTGTTTATTAGTTATTTGTGTCTTATCAATTTGGTGATAGTGGCACACTTGGACTTCTGGAAGTCTTGAGAAGTTGGCTATACTGTTCAAGGCCCCAGTTGTTCGAAATTGTTTGAGGATGACGCTATCCACCGGATAAGTGTTAACAAAACAAACCACGCTATCCGTTGGATGGTGATTTATCCGGTGAATTGCTTCTTCCATATTTCAACCAACCCGGGTCAATGCTCGAATACCGTTTAACCTGCATTCTTATTGAATTCTTACTACTAATTTTTGTCATTGTTCAGTGTCAAAATTCGTTAATCTCTCATTACTGGAGCCCGTCTCGTCTACTGCAAGAATTTGTTTTGCGTGCGCTATGAGAGGGGCTTTAAAATTCGTGAAAGAAAAGTCCTGTGTTTACAAATTTAACGCAGGTGTTGGCTGCATGGGAATTCAGCGGGTTATTCTACCGTTTCCTGCATTGCTGTTTATACTGTTGTCTGTATTCTGCAGATGGATGTATTTGATGCAGCTGAACGTTACCGCCAAGAAGGACGACAGCTTATCATCCTGGCCGGCAAGGATTATGGGTCAGGATCGTCACGTGACTGGGCGGCAAAGGGGCCTTGGATGCAGGTGTGTGAAATGATAGATAAAGGAATTAGGGGTTAGAGTCTACTTATGAAGGTCGCTGAAGCACAGCGCAGTAACAATAAGGTCACCGGGTTTTCTTCAATGTTCTTTTACTTCTTGCTAATTCTTCAACTGTGTGTTTTCTGTTCAGGGCGTCAAGGCGGTGATATCGGAGAGTTTTGAACGAATTCACCGGAGCAATTTGGTAGGAATGGGTATCATGCCTCTTGAATATCTTCCCGGCGAAAACTCAGAGAGCCTGGGACTCACTGGAAAAGAAAGCTACACCATTGAGGTGCCGGAAGACCTGAAAACTGGACAAACAGTGGATGTTAAGGTAGAAAAGCAAGCCTTCTAGCTCTCCCAACTAGCAGAAACAGCAGGCAAAAAAACATGTGATGTTAAATTTGGATAAGAAAGAATAGGCCAAGACTGCACAGGTTGTGAACTGAAAGATACACATAGTCTTTGGTAGAAAGGAATCGTTGCGCGAGAAAGGGCTTAACGATACGCAGCAACATATGGCGATCATATGATGGAATTACAACACCAGAAGAGAGAAGGCTCATGGTTTTGTGTATTGATGTAATCGCCGTATAGTGATCGATTGGTCAGACTGACGACTGACNAATGCTTGGAGCAGGGCTGTTAGCTAAGAAAGCTGTTGAGCTGGGACTTGGTGTCAAATCATACATCAAAACAAGTTTGTCACCAGGCTCGGGAGTGGTGACTTACTATCTGCAGGAGAGTGGTGTCACACCAAGTCTGGAAAAACTAGGGTAGGATTCTGTACAACTTGAAGTTACAGTGTACCTGGTATAACGCATATCATGAGTGCTTCATAAGTGAAATGAATGACAGCCAGTTTCAAGTTAGCTTGTGCTTCAATTAACAGTTTCCATAGCATGAACAGAAGGTAGAAGTGCGGTCTTCTATGAGAACAGGGGTTTCATAAAGAGCTGGGAACTGGGCAATTTGACTGGTTGTGAGGATGATTTTGCCTGCTTGGTTTGACTATCTGGGGGGAAGTTTTTATTAAAGAGAAGCTTGATTCAAAACCAGTTGCCCTCCTGATGAAAACGTTAATGAAAGCCCTAGGAAAGGCTTCATTCAGTATTGTAGTGTACTGCTAAATAATAAGTTACACCACATGGACCAGATTTGAACTTCGACACAAAACCATTGGGCCACTGTGCTTCCTGCTTTGTATCAATTCTTATGAAATTTGTCGCATTGCGCTAGATTCTGTTGTGATTTCCCGATTTGTTAGTAGTGCTCTGTTGCACAGAGATAACGTGTTCAGTACCTTTAATGTGATTGTTTTCTATTTGTGTTACTGTAGGTTTAATGTTGTAGGCTATGGTTGTATGACATGTATTGGCAACTCTGGACCTTTGTCTGAACCAGTATCAGAAGCAATAGAAAAGGTAAATCAATTCTGTTGAAAACCGTTGCATGAGTTTTGAATTATAAATACAGTGTTATTGTTCTAGTCAAAAAGATAAGACCTGTGAAGGATTAATTATTTTGGTGTCAACGTTGTGTTGCAATTCATCTTTGACTGTCTGTCTGTTACTTTTCAGGGTGACCTCGTTGCTGTGGGTGTCTTGTCAGGAAACAGAAACTTTGAGGGACGGATCCATCCGCTAACAAGAGCCAATTACCTTGCCTCCCCTCCCCTGGTGATTGCTTATGCCATTGCTGGCACAGTGCTCATTGACTTTGAGAAGGAGCCACTTGGTAAGCCAATATAATCACAGTAACACCATACCACTCTGTGTTACGTTTGCAGGGTTTGTACTGCTCTTAGAATTCCTGCAAAACCCCTGCAGTTTTACAGTTTTCTTCCAGGGGTAAACTCTGAGAAAATTATCTTTAAAGTACTGACTCCTGAGACATTCCTTGAATTTAAAGTTATGGTAATTTTTAAAAAAGTTTAAATGCTACATGTATCATAACATTTTGCTTTTTCGTAAGTCAGTGTCCAAAAAGTGTAATTTAAACAGCTATACAATAGAAATTTCCCAGTTCTGGATTCTGGAATTTTTATGTATTTGATTTACACATGCAATAGAACAAATGGTAAGGGATTTCTGTTGCATACTTCAGGTATTTCCAAGGATGGAAAAGAAGTTTTCCTTAGGGACATTTGGCCAACAAGGGAAGAACTCCAGGTAAGCATTGCATGTGATATTTATTTCCACAATGCTCATTTTCCAGAAATTTGGGAAGGAATACTTTTGCTAGTAGATGTCAGCGTCTTTTAAAAACCTAATTTGTAGAGTCGTAGTTGTAACTGCAACTAGTACTTGTTACAAAAAGCTAGCACTCAGAGAAATGCAAGGCATGATTTTTACAAGATTTTCTGCCCCCTCGGCCACTTCACCCTCAGCCAGTTCATTGGCCCTTCCAACTGCAGTCAAACCCTTGCAGCCGGAGCCTGTTCACAGGCTACGTGATTTTTGGATCTCATCCAAATAACTTGAATCACTTTTTTGTAGTTGAATGTTCTTCCAGCTAGAGTTTCAGTTCTCACCTTTTTAAAGCAGCTAAATCGAAAGTCTCTAAACCTTTTTGTTTTCTTGCTGATGACAAATTCCATTGTTCATTTTAATATTATCCACAGGTGGTAGAGAGACAGTATGTTATTCCTGCCATGTTCAAAGAGGTCTATGCCAAAGTAACGGTAAGAAGACTTCTATGAATTCTACCAATTTTGTCTTAAGTCGTGTTGTCAGAGCAGCTTTCATTGCTGCAGTACAGATCACTAGAGAACATGCGAATATATGTATGTTTGCCCTGACTTTGCTTTGTTTCGAAATGCTTTTAGTTTAGCCAGCAAGAACGAACTTGTTATCTTGGTCATTTGATCGTTCAGCAAAATCAACAATGAATTGTGATATGATTTTTGCGACTGTTCCTGACCTCGTGGACTGTTAAATTATCTGAAAGAGCTCTGATCTTTCCAGTGAGCATTCTGTGATGACTAGAAAGCTCCTATGTTATTTTTGGTTACACAACTGTCATTAGAAATGACCTCATTAGTGCAGTTCAATCAAAACTCGAAGCAATTACATGTACGTGTAGCCGACACGAAGCGCGGGAAAACTTGTGAGAGCAATTTATGATTGGGTTTGGTTTTACTTCTGATTAAATGACAAAGTGGCGCAGGTTTTTTAGCCTATCGCTTAGCGTGAGACATGTAATGCAAATGCAAAACCAAAACCAATTAAATACAAACTCTACTTTGTACAGAGGTGAAAAGTGCTCTAACAGAGTAAATTTCCATTTGTTTTAGAGTGGTAATCCTCGGTGGAACTCACTGGAGGCACCAAACAGTTTGTTGTACCCTTGGGATGAGAAATCAACTTACATAAAACATCCACCTTTCTTTGAAACAATGGTGAGAATTTATAACTTAATAATATGAACTTGGTTTGCTTTCTTGTGGTACTGTTCTGATGTGACAACTTTCAAGGTACAAGGTATCTGATTAAAGAACTCGTAAATCAGAAGTCAGCAAAAAGTCTGAAAATCCTTATTTATTTTAACTTTCTACAGACTTTGATAATGATAACGAGAATTGTTTCTGTAGCACTTGAATTTTGGCAGTTACGTTTTTACAAGAGAAAATGATTTTTACCAATCCTGGAAAAAATCTTGGTATCGTTTCTCTCATGACTGACGACCTTATTTGAGCCACAATTGATTTTAAATGTTCAAAGGCAGTGTGGTGCACAGCGAAGTTTTCACAATAAGTAAGCACACAATTTCAGTGGAAACTCCCTTCTTTATAATTTTACGAACAGGCTAAGGAGCTGCCGAGCCGTGAAAGTATCAGAAATGCCGCTGTACTGTTGAACTTGGGCGACTCTGTGACAACTGATCACATCTCTCCTGCTGGCAGCATTTCACGCACCAGTCCTGCTGCACGTTATCTGGCTGGAAGAGGGTATGTTTGTTGAGTTTTGTGTATTCTTCGTCTGTTAAAACAGTCATGAACGTTTGATTTCGCTGTTTAGTTTGGCCAGTAGTGTTTGAAGCCTTAATACGAGGGGGTAGCGGGAGGTTTCACTCCCACTCAAGTTCGCTCAGTCTGGGCTCGCATCACACTTTTGCGAGAGGTTGACCGCGTTCGCTCTCTATTCTGTCGTCGTGTATCTTGATGTAAGTTTAAAAACAACTGAATTACCAGTATTCCGAAATTTCGTCTTTAGCAGGAAAAAGAGGCCGCTACTTTCGGGTAGCCGGTACTTTACATGTGCTTTCTGGATTGTCCAGTAATCTTTGCAGTCACAGTGATATTATTTTATTGTTTAAGTATTCGAGCCGTTACTTTCGGGGGAGCGTTTCTTTCGAGGGGCCGTTACTTTCGGAATTTTCGATACAATGTATCAAAGTCTATCAGACTCCGATTTTAGTTAGGTGAGAATACCGACCATGATCTCACTGTTAAGCGTGAGTACATGGAGTGAATGTTGGCTTTCAATGTCTTTTCAGGCTTGCTCCTCGTGAGTTCAATTCATATGGTTCCCGTCGAGGAAACGATGCTGTAATGGCACGTGGAACATTTGCCAACATAAGACTGGTCAACAAATTCATCGGAAAAGCTGCTCCTAAAACTGTTCACATTCCTTCTGGAGATACGGTATGATGATAAACTGTTTATTAGTTATTTGTGTCTTATCAATTTGGTGATAGTGGCACACTTGGACTTCTGGAAGTCTTGAGAAGTTGGCTATACTGTTCAAGGCCCCAGTTGTTCGAAATTGTTTGAGGATGACGCTATCCACCGGATAAGTGTTAACAAAACAAACCACGCTATCCGTTGGATGGTGATTTATCCGGTGAATTGCTTCTTCCATATTTCAACCAACCCGGGTCAATGCTCGAATACCGTTTAACCTGCATTCTTATTGAATTCTTACTACTAATTTTTGTCATTGTTCAGTGTCAAAATTCGTTAATCTCTCATTACTGGAGCCCGTCTCGTCTACTGCAAGAATTTGTTTTGCGTGCGCTATGAGAGGGGCTTTAAAATTCGTGAAAGAAAAGTCCTGTGTTTACAAATTTAACGCAGGTGTTGGCTGCATGGGAATTCAGCGGGTTATTCTACCGTTTCCTGCATTGCTGTTTATACTGTTGTCTGTATTCTGCAGATGGATGTATTTGATGCAGCTGAACGTTACCGCCAAGAAGGACGACAGCTTATCATCCTGGCCGGCAAGGATTATGGGTCAGGATCGTCACGTGACTGGGCGGCAAAGGGGCCTTGGATGCAGGTGTGTGAAATGATAGATAAAGGAATTAGGGGTTAGAGTCTACTTATGAAGGTCGCTGAAGCACAGCGCAGTAACAATAAGGTCACCGGGTTTTCTTCAATGTTCTTTTACTTCTTGCTAATTCTTCAACTGTGTGTTTTCTGTTCAGGGCGTCAAGGCGGTGATATCGGAGAGTTTTGAACGAATTCACCGGAGCAATTTGGTAGGAATGGGTATCATGCCTCTTGAATATCTTCCCGGCGAAAACTCAGAGAGCCTGGGACTCACTGGAAAAGAAAGCTACACCATTGAGGTGCCGGAAGACCTGAAAACTGGACAAACAGTGGATGTTAAGGTAGAAAAGCAAGCCTTCTAGCTCTCCCAACTAGCAGAAACAGCAGGCAAAAAAACATGTGATGTTAAATTTGGATAAGAAAGAATAGGCCAAGACTGCACAGGTTGTGAACTGAAAGATACACATAGTCTTTGGTAGAAAGGAATCGTTGCGCGAGAAAGGGCTTAACGATACGCAGCAACATATGGCGATCATATGATGGAATTACAACACCAGAAGAGAGAAGGCTCATGGTTTTGTGTATTGATGTAATCGCCGTATAGTGATCGATTGGTCAGACTGACGACTGACGGACTGACTGACTGACTGACTGACTGACTGACTGACTGACTGACTGAGGGACGGTTTAATTAATTGGTTGATTAATTGATTTTATTGATTGATGGAGTTGTTTTATTTTTTAGTTGGATGGTGGGCGCACTTTCAAAGTGAAAGTTCGTTTTGACACAGATGTGGAATTGGCGTACTTCAAACATGGAGGCATCTTGAACTACATGATTAGGAGCATGCTCACATAAGAAGAAACAACATGCGTCAAATACCCGAGAACACTGACTTGAATAATGCTCTCGAACGCCAAACCAACGCTTTTGGAAATAGGGGTGGGGTACGAGAGGACAGGTGGGAACGAAACGGATTACCACATAACATTTACTGTTGTGCTTTTAAAATGTCTATTGCTACCGGACGTTAGAACAGAAGTTTTCCTTAATTTTTCAACTACAAAATATGTACATAAAATATGAATTAAACCTGACTATTTAAGAAGAATATCAGGACGGCTACCGAATTTTTTCGAAAGGAAACAAAATCATATTTTTAATTATGCGCAGGTCTGACTATTTGAGAAGAATATCAGAGGAAAAAAAATTAAAAAAATTCCACTACAGTAACTGCTAGGTTAGATGTCGTTACACGAAACTGGAAACCTATTTAAGAAGACTATGGAGGAGGTGCACGTCTGGAAATAAATGAGATGAACACGCAAGAGTATTGGTCTGTTGTTTGAATAGTTCACCCTGTATGTAGAGTAATGTATTTCCTTTGTACATAAAGCGATGACTGTTTTACACGAGGCTGCACCAGCCATCTCTGACTCGTCCCTCAGTAAAAATTAACGAAGAAGCGTGGGAGAGCGGTGGGTTGTGGGAAGGAGGACAGTTGCTTCTCCCTTCCCATCAATCCCTGCTTTACACTTGCCCTCATTCGACTCTCGCTCACGTCGGAGACTCGGAGACGTTTGCGGACGAGTCAACCAGCCACCTCGGCTTTCCCAAAGAATAAACTCAGAATTTTCAGCATTTTTATCGCGTTGTGAGAGCAAGGCGCACGGGAGAGGGGACGGGAATAGCGGCGCCGAACCGAGAGGTCGCCCCGCTATTACAATCTACTTCTCCACGACCAATTTTTTCCGTCCGCAGTGACGTGTTTGATTTAGGAATTTTGCCGCTAGACAATTTTCCGAAAAAAAAAAAAAATCAGCTCACAGGTTTCAAACTTTGCTTTCTGGGATACTGTGTCTTCAAAAAGGTGTGATTATATCACACCTTTTGTTTTCTTTTTTTAACATGGCGCGCGGTGAAAAAAAAAGCGGCGCACACAACCGAAAAAAAAAGTAACTAAGTAAAAAGAAAAAAAAAAGCCTTAACTGAACTGTTTTACTTGTAAAACCACTGGAAAGGGAGTAACAAATTGTTTGCCTCGAGAAATCGGCAGCACGCCCAAGACGTATACCATTCGTGCCGAGCGCGGTCTCAGTTGTTCTGTCTTTTAATCTTAAAAACAACAACAACAACAAAAGCAACAACGGCAACAGATCTTTTGCACTTGAATTGTTTTTCTTCTCCCTCCCTAATATGTGTCTTCGAATCTTAGGCCCAGGTCAAACGCCCTACTTCACATGAGCCGAACCCAATGACAGTTTGGGTCGACTCAAATAATTAAAAGAACGCCTGTTTGAGTCAAACGTCGAACTTAATTCAGTCAAACCGATCTGCTACACCAAATAAATAACAAAAGCGATCCTGTTTAGTGGTTTTTCAAGGTAAGGTCAAAATTATTATGCGTATTATTATGATTACGCGTTTGGTTCGACTCATGTGAAGATCGCCATTTGACCCAAAGTCGGTCTTCACGCGTTCTTCACGGCTGGCCAGGTGTGAAGAACGCCTCAGCCGCTCCAAATAAAATCAGTCGAACTTAATTGGGTCAAACGCCGAACTTCACATGAGTCTAATTGGTTGAATTGGGTTCGG